GATACTTATTCCAGATGGCATCTCTAAGCCCATCCTCGACAGGATTTCTGTCACCCCCTCAAGATGGAATCTTTAAGCCCATCTCCAGATGGCATCTTTAAGCTCATCTCCAAATGGCATCTCTAAGCCTATTCCCGCATTCATTGCTTTGACGAGTGCAAATTTCCGGGCACTCTAGTGTCCAATTTCCTTTTACCCTCGAGTCACGAAAGGCAAACTTGTCAATCTAACTCTTCGGATTCAAGAAGATTGAACAGGGGCAACTGTTGTACCCCAAAATTTGCCCTCCCATTTCTCAATGATTTCTCATCACAAAACCTTTGAAGCCCAAGATCCAGTTAGGGTGTCATCTACTCAAGGCTTCTCCTTGCACTGTTGACCTAAATTAGGGTTTGTGTTTGCACCAAGATGTTTTGACCTAAAGTGCCTAAGATGACTTTCATGCTTCATATTGGACTCCCAAGTTTACCCATACCAAGTTTCAAGCTTTGATTCCAAGTTTTGCTCAGTCAATTAGACAGTTGACCTAGAAATCAGCTGTATTGGGGAAAAAGTCAACTGTGGCCAATTGACAGTCAAACCTCATGAAAATTGACCCACATCAACATTATGAACTCATATGGACCATTTGATCAAGTTTGGATCACAATTCCATAAGAAATTTGATCAGATCACTAAAAGGGCAAAATGGTCATTTTTAGGGTTTTGACTGCACAAAGGCAATTTTTGACTGTTTGACCTAGCCAATGGCAAACCAATCTCATATATGGACTCAAGGACCCCATGGAATTATCTTGACATGCTCAACAAACTCAAAAGATCCCAAGTACACAAGATTGACAGTTGAATTTCCCAGTCAATTGATCAATTTTGACTGTATACTGAAAAGTCAAACTTTGACTTTTTGGTCAAAATCAAGAGTCAAGATTCATTTTTCATCAAAACATGCTAAATCATGAAACTTGTTCACCAAGAAATCACAAAATGCAAATTAGGGTTAGAAATTAAAATTTTTCATAACTTAGAATTTTTCTAAGTTATAAAAAACCCTAATTTTTCCCCAAATTTGCCCCACTTTTTCACCAAGATCCATTTGGATTCAAACAAAAGTCAAAACATGAAAGTTGTAGCTTGTTGCATAATCTACAACTTTGATTCACAAAGTTTTCCCATTTGAGGCTTTTATCTCAAGTTACAAATTTTTGAATAAGGGCACTAAACCATTCTTAACTTAGTGGAATTTTAACCTATTTTGACAAGGTTTTCTACCCAACTTCAAGGCCATTTTCCATACACTTACACTTGGAATTTCAATTTGCATTTCAAATATTGATTGTAGTACACATTCCAAACTTTCCAAAATGTCCAAGAACTTCTCAAACAACCTCATGGTTAGGGAGAATCGAATTTTGCAAAATGAGAAAAAGTCACTTTTGTTCTTGGCCATGTACATGTTCATAACACTATGCATTTCAATCTCAGCTTGCATATCTTGATTACAGGTCCTTAAACCATCCAACACTCATAAATTTAATGCATATTCTTTGTGCCAAGACCATGTTCTTTGTGTTCTAACATTGCATAAAGGATTAATCCCAAAATAGATAAAGCATTCTTTCTATTTTTGCAAAAGGTAGCTTTATGTCCAATTACAAATCCAAGAAGTACATTCCATATCTAATTGGCACAAGTTTATGAGTTAATCACACTGATCAAGGAGGGATTATGCAGCATAGTATGAGGGCCTGTACAGGCTAGAGGCACAAAGTAACCATTGCTTGCTTAAAGTGTAAGAAACACATCATAACTGAGGACAACTCTCATATCAGCTTGCAAACACTTAAGTGAACTTGTGAAACACACTCAAGACATCTCAACTAAGCTATTGCACGACCCTAACACCTCTCATACACTCCCAATCTCAGAATCATCTTCAAACTGCAAAAACAGGGCCAGGCCTGCAGTTTGAGTGCCATCTTCCATTTCCCTCAAGCTCTCTTGCCCAAACCAGTTCACATACATTCCCTAACATCTATGCAAGCTAACCATGACTTGAAACACGACCTGTAATCCCTCTAACCAGTTCCACCATTTTCAGTTTCGTGTTTTATAGGTGAAGTGCTCTAGCACGATTCAAAAGCTTTCAAGACAAAGTAAACATTGGAATAGCATCCCTGGACCTCAAGGAAGCTTTTCCAATCATCACCTTGCACTGAAAGCTTCCTCATTGCCAGATAGAACTTCAGCTGAACAGGTTTTTTGGTGAACTTCTATCTCTCTTATTAAGCATCATTAGCTCTAAGTTTGTGAATAAACAATGTTCTACTCATGCCACTGAACATGTACATGTTTTTACTTTTCATTTCTTTTGCTTGAGCTGTGAGAATTTGAGGTTTGAAAATGGCAGAAAATCTAGGTTAGGATTTGGGGGAGAAGAAATTCTTCCTCATCTTAGAGAGTTAGATCAAGTTCTGCATATGGTTGGATTCGTCTCTTGATGCTGAACATTTTTTATGTTATGAGTTTTCATTAATAAGCCAGGAATCAGGAGTTAGAAGTTTGAGAAGAAGGGTGTGCGTTTTTGAACTGGTTTGTCTGAAGGTTGAAGACAATGTCTTCTTGGGCTGGGCCTGAGCTTTTTTTTCTTATTCACACCACTTTTTTGGTTTTACACCCCTGAGCCCATTTGCTTCATTTTTGATGTTTTTTGACTTTTTCTTTTTTTAATTGACTCATTTATTTTTTCTCAGCATATTAAAAATATAAAAATATTTTTTTTCATCGTTTTTGAATTTATTAGGTATTTCTTTGATTTTTTCTTTTAGTTTGTATATAAATAAATAAATGTATACCTTTTGTTTAAAATACTAAAATAGCACAAATATATTTTATACACTTTTATCTTATTTTTACTTCCTGAAAATATTTTATAGAAAAATACTTTTTTATTTTAATATTAAATATTGTTAATTAATATATATAATACATGCCTTGTAAATAATATAAATATACATATATATATATATATATATATATATATATATATATATATATATATATATATATATATATATATATATCAATACATTTAGGGTAAAAATATCAAAAATATACATATTTTTATTTTATTAATATTTAGCACTAAAAAGACATTTTTATAAATATACTATATTTTATTTTATTTTTGTATGTAAATAGTAAATATTATATGAATTAATTGATTAATATCCCTTTTTGATTAAAAAATTAGGGTTTTGCCCTAAATTTGAAAATACTCCGAAAATAATACCTTTTTATTTCTCTTTTTATTTTCACATAAATAATATTCTTTTTTTTCATACACATAAAAATTCTTTTTGCATTTTACATATTCATTTCAATTTCCATTTAATTATACAATTATTTGTCTTGTAAATATTCAAAGAAAATGATGTAATAGTTAGGTTTAAATTCTTGTCTAAATATACCCCATTTGAAACATTGTACCCCCCTCCCCATATTATTGTGTTGTAATAGTGTAGGAATTTAAATTTCGTACTTTATCGCTTTCTAAATATACTATGCTAGAGTTAGGGTTTGCATGCGAATAAAACGAACAAAAAGTAGTTTGCCCTAATACAAGACAAGAAAGCATGAAAAATGGACAACACATTCCACACTCGCACCCCTAGGGTATTCCACTTTGTTGCCTTCAAATAATTGGGCCATATTGCGTGTTGAATTTCTTTGGGTAAAATAAACAATCAAATGATCATAGTCCCTCAAATTGTTGCCTAAATGAATGATCAAGTCCCTTTTAAAGAAAAAAATTGCCCAAAGACATTTAACACTATTACAATTATGGTCTAAACAATGACCCGCGCCCGTCCCTTTCACCTCCTAAGACAAGATTGTCCACCAAATGCAATGGTGGAATAAAATTGTCAAAAGGTTTAAAACATAACAAAAATCTTTGAGAAAACTTTAGGGTAGATAACTCTTGAGTACTTGTCAATTTGCCAAGAAAACACTTGCCCATTTTCAAACCCCACTTCACAAACACTTTCAAAACAAACTTTCAAAAACCTTGAAACATCTTTTCAAAAGACAAACACCTTTTGTAAAACATTCGAGTAAAGAATTGTTACAAGGGTAGCCTATACAAGGCATCTTTTCAAAACATTTTCAAAACCACACATCAAGCACCATTTCAAACAATTGAAAACCAAGGCAAGTTGATCTAAGCAAGTACCTAAGAGCCCATGGATAACCATGGATAGAAAGGGTGCTAATACCTTCCCTTTCTATAATCTACTCCCTGAACCCAAGAAAAATCTCAAAGGTTTTTGCTGTGCTTTTTAAACCTTTCCTTAGGATAAAATAAAAAGTCGGTGGCGACTCTTGCTCAACCGAAACATTTGCGAAAACAAACGCAAAACCCTAGTCAGTTCTCCCACCGTATCACAGGTTGCCAATGCCTCTAGTACTTTCATGAGATTAATGAATCATGTTCTACACCCATTAACTATTTCTTTCATAGTAACTTATTTTATTGATATTATGATTTATAAAAAGACCAAGAAAGAGAATCTAGAGCATGTGAAGTAGGTGTTAGAAGTCCTACAAGAGAACCAGTTATAAATTAATATGAAAAAGTGTTCCAATTTGAATGTGATGCTAGTGGAGTTGGGATATGAGTTGTATTGTCTCAAAAGAAGAAACTAGTGTCCTTTTCATCGAGAAATTAAGCGATGCTCGCTAGAAATGGAGCATTTCTAATTAGTAATTCTATGCAGTCTTCATAGCTTTTTACTTTGAGGAATATGATTCAAAGTGTTTGTGGAGACAAGTCAAAGCAGTGAGATTTATTTTTTACTTGTGTTGCATTTTCTTATAACAATGTTGTGCACTCAGTTACAGGGTAATCACCCTTTTATCTGGTTTATACTTTTGTCCTTAAGCATTTGGTTGATTTGGTTAAGTCGTCTAAGGCACCTAGAGTTAGTGCGGCTGCTGAGAATATGGTTGAGGAGATGGTAGTTCTTAAAGATGTTATCAAGGCTAAGTTAGAGGCTATTGGGCAGAAGAATAGAGCGAATGCTGATAAATGTAGGAAGGTTAAAGTTTTCAATGTATGAGATGATGTTATGGTGTTTCTGCATAAGGAGAGGTTCCTAATCGATACTTACAACAAGCTGAAACCATGCAAGTATGAGTCATACAAATTAACTTGAAAGATCAATGATAATGCTTATGTGGTAGCTCTCCCAGATGCCATGAATATATCCAATACTTTTAAAGTTGTTGACATTCATGATTATAAAGCAGATGAGACTCTTTATCAAGAAGAGAACTCGGGGTCGAGTTCTTCAGAGGTGGAAGATACTGATGTAGGAAGGATGGCTACATGTATCGACAAAGAAGTCGCGCGTCAGAAAGCATTTTAATATTTTACATAATTTTCTATTTTATTTGTATTTTGGAGTTAAAGACCACTAGGGATTCTTTAAGCCCATCAAATTTCTTTTTTTTCTCTGTATTTAAAAACTCTTGGTAGTGGCTGTCAATATTATCTTTTAATATTATAATAATATGCAATTCCTTTCTCTATCTGGTGGATTCCAAAGTTTTATCTGTCAGGTTTGTCTCATGCAAACCTGTGTTTTCATGCTAGGTTTAGCGCTTTCTAATCCGAGTGGTTTGTGACGCTGTTTAGGTTTTCAAACGCCCCTAGCAATTTCACGAAACTGGTAAATCGAGTTCTATGTAAACTTACCGATTCTTTTGCATTAATTTATTTCGATGATATTCTTATATATAATAAGACCAAGAAAGATCATCTAGAGCATGTGAAGCAGGTGTTTGAAGTACTACAAGAGAATAAGGTGAGAGCTATCATGGATTGGCCTGCACCTAAATCAGTGACTGATATTTGTAGCCTTTATAGTCTATTCACATTCTATAGGAGGTTTATCAAGGATTTTAGAACTATCACTGCACCTATTACTAAATGTTTGAAGAAAGCGAAGTTCAATTGAGGGTTTGAGCAAGAGTGGAGTTTTGCATTGATTGAGGATAAGCTATGTATTTCCCTAGTATTAATACTTCCTAATTTTGAGCAAGTGGTCCAAGTTGAATGTGATTCTAGTAGAATGGGGATATGAGTTGTATTGTCTCAAGAGAAGAAACTAGTGACACTTTTCAGCGAGAAATTAAGCAATGCTCGCCAGAAATAGATTACTTATGATTAGATATTCTATGCAGTCTTTAGAGCTTTGCGCTAGGAGGAACATTATTTTGCTTAGAAGTAATTCGCTATGTTCACTGACTATCAAGCATTGAAATTCATTCACATCAAGACGCTCATAAACAAGATGCATGCTTGGTGGGTGAGTTTTATGCATAAATTTCTTTTTACTATTCAACACAAGTCAGGGGCTCTTAACAAGCTAGCAGATGTGTTGCACCGGAGGGTGTAACACCCAAGGATGAAGAGCATGGAGGGTGGTTGAACCACATGTAACACTCAAGGGAAAGGAGTGGTTGCCACATCGAAATGAGAGGGATCCTGAGGTTGTTCAGGTATGAGACTGCATGGTTGAAGGAAGACTTATAAGGATTGATTAATACTACATATACCAATAAGATGCATCTTCTTTTCAGTAGCTCGTTCTATAACAACTCCATAATTAAGCGTGCTTAACTTGGAGTAATTTTGGGACGGGTGACCTTCTGGGAAGTTTCTCAGAAAGCGTCTGAGTGAGGATAAATCATGCTGAAAAGACCTGTGTTGGTTTACGGGGTTAGTCGATAATCCCAAAGACATTTTTGGGCGTTACAGAGGACTTCCTTACTAATTACCTTAGTGTATGATATAATAGGATTTGAGTGTCTGAAATACTACTACAAAAAAAAATATTACACCTCAGATGCGAAATGCATTTAACCTCAACTAACGAAGGGCCTCATGAAAAGTATCAACTTAACACCTTGGTTTTGAAAACACCAAGGGGAAAATGCTTATGCACATGTGTTCGGGGCCCAACCACTGCACTTTTAATATTTCCAAAACTAGCGCATCAATCCTCTCGGTGTATGAATAACACTAAGGGGTAAAATTGATATTTATTTTATCATGTTAAAACTAAAGAAAATTAATAAATTAATTGTTTAACCATAATATTACATTATTTACACAATATATATATATATATATATATATATATATATATATATATATATATATATATATATATATATATATATATATATATATATATATATATATATATATATATATAAACAAATTTGGAATTTGATTCATCGTCATCACAATTGGTGAAAGATCATATGTTGGATTCTCATTTCATTGGATGCTACTAAATCACGCTGAATATACCCGTATTGGTTTGTGGGGTTAGTCGATAATCCCAAAGGCAGTCTGGGGCGTTACAGAGGGATTCATTTCTAATTGCCTTAGTTCATGATATATTAGGATTTTAGTGCCTGAAACACTACTACAAAAAACACATTACACATCTAACGTGAAATGTATTTAACCTCGACTAACGAAGCGAGATAATGAAGGGCGTCATGAAAAGTATCAACTTAACATCTTAGTTTTTTTAAAACCAAGGGGAAAATGCTTATGCACATGTGTTCAAGGCCCAACCACCGCACTTTTAATATTTCCAAAACTAACGCATCAAACATCTCGGTGTATGAATAACACCGAAGGGTAAGATTAATATTTTTTTTATCTCTTTAAAACTATAGAAAATTAATGAATGAATTATTTAACCATAATATTACATTGCTTACATAGAATATCTCTCTCTCTCTCTCTCTCTCTCTCTATATATATATATATATATATATATATATATATATATATATATATATATATATATATATATATATATATATATATATATAACAAATTTGGAATCTGATTCATCATCATCACTGTTGGTGAAGATCATATGTTGGATTATCGTTTCATTGAAATGTCGGGCAAGAGAAAATGTTGGATACAATATAATCCAGATCCCTTTAGAATTTATTTGTTTCTGATTTAAAACAACAAAATGTTTAGTTTAATGAATGAATATACGATTATTGAAGAACACTAAAAAAATGATTATTGAAGAACACAAACCTTAAAAACAATTTATTTTCTGCTCTTGGAATCCATCACAAAACTTTACCAAGTTTTTTACGCTTCAAAATTTTCATGTTATGGTTCATTAACAATTATCGACATTCAGAATGCTTTTATAATGGATGTCTGTTAGGTTTCACGCAGATCACTAATTGAAGTGTCTTGAGCGTTGATACTCATAAAATAGATGACACATATTTGTTTAAGAATGGTGATAAATATCCTTAATATTCACGCCAAAATTATTCCCTCAGTTTCTGTCAAAAACCGAGGTTTTCTGTCAAAAACCGAGGTAAAAGGTGTATAAGTTTTTTTTAACATTACACTGTTTACATAGAATATTAAATTATATTAATACAAAAAATGCAATGTTATTATAGTAGTTGTTCTTGGAGAACAACACATCTTTTCTCTAATCCATATCCTATTGGATACATTTTGTGCTCATTATTTTAAAGTTCAATGGACTGCATGCAATCAACTTCTAAAGAGCTATCTGCCCCAAGTAAGGAAATATCAGTTCCAAACATTAGAAATATTTTTTCTATACTTGTAATCCATCATTGAGAAATTTTTCGAGTATTTTTTAGTTCCAAAATTTCATTATCTTGAGCAAATTTTAAGGAAAATGCTTTCACAAGAAAGATATATAGTGGTGGATGTAGATATTTTGTTGTCGATTAATGTCTTGGCAATATCTTGAGCGCTGTCCCTTTAAAAATGTAGGGTAGAGATTCATTGATGTAGTTGTGTAACATGTTACATTGGTTTTAAAAAAATGGGGGAAAACTTATTTTATATTTTAAATAGAAAAATAAAATAAGAAAGCCCATCAGTTTTAAAATAAAACCAAGGTGAGTAATATCTATTTTTTAAATATTACATTCTTTACACATAATATTAAAAAATCCAGATTCATCATCATCGCTGCAATTCCAGATTTTGTTGTATATATCTTTTCAAAGGTTGAACAACCTTCTTTGTTTAACCTGAAAGAAGAAATGATTTTCTGCACTTTCAATCTATCATAAGAAACTTTTCTAACATTCTTTAACAGAGATTTGTTCCAAAAATATAACCTCATCACCATTATGTGAGATAGATTGCAAGGGCAGAAAAAAAAGTTTTGTTCAAGGATAAACGAATATTGAAGTTTTTTTCTTTTTTGCAATCCATCCCATAGAATGAAGCATACTAGTTTAAGGCGGCTTCATATAAGAAATGATTAGGGTAAAATATGTTTAACAAGTGCTTTTATAGTAAAATATAGTAATATTATCCCTCGGTTTTAACGAAACCAAATGTATATATCATTTAGTATTCACTTATATACAAATAAAAATATAAACTACAATAGCTGAGATTCGAAGCGTGTCCTGATTTGTTTTTCCCCTCGGTTTTATTAATAACCGAATTAAAAACCGATGAAATATGTTGTTTTTATTTTTATAAAGAATAAACAATGACACGCCTTGGTATAATACCTCGGTTTTTTCTGGATGAGGTGAAAACTTTGTAATAAAATATATTTTTTAAAGTAGTGAAAGAGTTATATGAAGGTGATGTTGAATTCAAGTATTTATGGGTCAACTGCAGTGGAAAACATCCTTGTGTATACTTTCATATTTGAGGAGGCTATCATTTTAAAGGCATTCTATGCATTCCTTGCTCATCTTTTAGAGAGAGGATAATTCAAGATCTACATGGTGGTAATTTTAAGAGTCATCTGGGTAGAGACAAAACCATTACTAGTTTGGAAGAGAGATATTATTGGCCACACTTAAGGAGGGACGATGGTACTATAGTCAGGAGGAATTATCTTGTTAGGTTTCTAAAGGTTAGTCTCAAAATACTTGTCTTTATATGCCTTTACCTATTCCTGGTGATATTTGGCAAGATTTAGCATTGGAGTTTGTGCCGGGCTTGCCTCATACACAACGAGGTGTAGAATTTGTGTTTGTTGTAGTAGACAGATTCTCAAGATGACACACTTCATTGTTTGTTAAAAAGACTATTGATGCGTCCAACATAGCCAAAAAAAATTTAAGGGAGGTTATGCGTCTTCATGGGGTTCTTAAGTCAATTACTTCAGATAGAGACACCAAATTTCTCAGTCAGTTCTTGTTTACTCTTTGGAGATTTTTTGGAACTGTGTTGAACAAGAGTTCTAGAACTAATCCTCAAACAAATGGACAAACGGAGGTAACCAACAAAACTTTGGGGAATATGATTCGAAGTGTGTGGAGACAAGCTGAAGAAGTGGGAGTTAGTTTTTACCTTAGGATG